ACGTGTCAGAAGCAGGAAGTGGTGGTGTGAAAATACCCTAAGACTAAAGCCTTTTGAGGAGGCTTGCATGGCCCATGCTGACAATGTGTGCCCATCTGCACCCAGCTCTCCTACCTCATGAGCTTCATGTCCAGAGGTTCAAACTGGGAGGGGGGCTGCCGGCTGTGCTGGTGCACATAGGTGATGTGCTGGGCCAACCTGGATAGAGGGGAGGTGAGGAGGAACACCCTTTATAGGGCTACATACCCATGTCCTCTTAGGTATCCCTCCCTTGGCTCCACCCATCTCATGGTATAGCAGGAACAAGCTTTCCTGGGAAATCCTCATTAGCATTTCAGCCCCAACCCACCATTTTCCTGAGAACCTTGGACCAGTCCCTGACACAAGGAGGAGGTTCTGGGATTTCCAGGAGCTGGGTATTTATTTTGATTCACCCCCGGCCCCTGCCACAGATCATTACAGGGGACCTCTCTTTGGGTGTTGAGCTTCATTCACCGTAGGTCATTGTCACGGTCAGGCCGGTCCTGAATCAGCCAGAGGAGGTCAAACCGGGAAAGCAGTGCAGCAGGCAGCTGTATGTTCTGCTCCAGGCTGCGGCGAGGGTTGTATCGACCATAGGCAGGGTTGGCAGCAGCCAGGATAGAGCAGCGGGCATTGAGTGTGGTGAGGATGCCAGCCTTGGCGATAGAAATGGTCTGCTGTTCCATGACCTCGTGGATGGCTGTTCGGTCGGCCTCAGCCATCTTGTCAAACTCATCAATGCAGCACACGCCCTGGTCAGCCAGCACCAGGGCTCCACCCTCTAAAGTCAGTTCTCCACTCACGGAGTCTCTCAGCACAGCTGCTGTAAGTCCCACTCCTGAGGAGCCCCGGCCTGTTGTGTACTGGCCTGGAAGAGAAGAAATAAGGAGCCATGTTAGGAGATAGAAAGGAACGAGAGAGAGAGCAAGCAAAAGACAAGAAATGAGCCAGAGAGGGGGGGCTGCGCTGGGATTGTTCCACCTGCCCCAGGCCTTCCCCGGGATGCCCAAGGTTCTGTGGGGCGCTGAGGCAGGAGAATCACTTGAATTCAGCAGGTGGAGGTTGCAGTGAGCTGAGACCACGCCACTGTACTCCAGCCTGGGCGACAAAGTGAGACTGTCTCAAAACAAAAACAAACAAACAAAAATAATAATAATAAAAAAAAGCCCTTTTTAGTAGAGACGGGGTCTCACTATGGTGCCCAGGCTGGTCTCAAACTCTTGGCCCCAAATGATTCTCCTGTCTCAGCCTGAGAGCACTGAGATTACAGGTGTAAGCCACTATGCACCCCCACTTTTTGAATAAACCCTGTGGTCCTGTCTGTCACTATGTTCACCCCTCTCAAAGTCCAACTACTTACTGCGGGGGGCCAGGCGATCGATATATGACAGAAGCTGAGACTTGGCCACACCAGGATCCCCCATCAGACAGATGTTGATGTTGCCTAGAGGAAGACAGGCAGCCCAGGAATGACTCTTCTCCCAGTGCAAGTTGGCCAACAGCAGAGCAATTTTGAATTCTGCCTCCCCCAACACCTAGCATTACTTCTAAGCCCTCCCTGTGTCCATGAATCGAAGACGCCCACTCTTATACTGTGACCTATGGGGACACTTGTCATCCTTTTTTCCTCCCAAATGACTTCATCTACCCTGAGCCTTGCCCTTTTTTCTTCTTACCCCTGATTTTCATGCCTCGAGGAGACTGGTCCACACCCCCCACTAGCAGGAGCAGCAGTGCCTTCTTCACATCTTCATGCCCATATATCTCTGGGGCAATTGAAGCTGCCAGCTTTTCGTAAAAATCCTCCTCTGTGGAGAATTTTAAGGTTAAGGTATTTTGTGGGGGAAAATGGGGGGGTAGGATGTAAACGGAATTTCCTCTCTCTCCTGAGCATCACCTGCAATCTGCCTCAGCTCCTCCCTGCTGAGCTCTCCAGCCCCAGACTCATCATCCTCACTCTTGTTCATCTTCACAATCCGATGGGCTTCCAGGTAGGTTTCTGAGAGTAAACCCTTAGGCAGGAAAATGTCAGGATACAGATGCAATCCTTAGAACTTACCCATCACCAGATTCCCTAACAATTTCTTGATAAAGCACTGTGTTGTTTTGTTTGGTGCTTTGCTACTCACTTTTCTCTGTATGGGTACAGTGGGTGAGGGGAAATGGGATGATCTGTTCCTCATATCAAACTCCCTTCCTTACCTGTACCACCTGTCGGAACCCAGTGCGCAAGACTGGCAGGAAGATACCAGTGACACTGACATGGTCTCCAGGCTGGGCGATCCTTGTGTTCTCTCCTTCTACCAGCACTGTGATACTACGAGGGATATTTCCCACGGGTACTTGGTCACTCTAGGGGAGGGAAGAGCACATAAGGCTCAGGAGAAATAAACAAGGACCCAACCTTCCCTCCCTAGGCATCCCACGCCAAGACTCCCTGCCTGCCCAGCCACAGATAAGCCCACAGGACGGAAGCTGAGACTGCCTTTCTCCCCTTGCCAAGGCTCTCAAGAAACCCCAGTTCCACCTCACTCCTGCACTTCCCTCTTTTGTTCTTCTTGCCATTCCACCAGTGACTACAGGATTCAAGTGGACTCCTGATCCACCTGCCCAGGGCCACATACCCCAAACTCACATGTTCTTGCATCTTCATCTCCTGGAATTTGATGAATTTGGAGCCCCGTGTCTGCAGATACAGCCGCCCTCCTGAGCGGTTGGTTTGGCACTCCTGGCTTGGGCACATGATCAGAGGCATGAAAGTGGGAGACTGAATCTAGGATTGAGAACAGAAACACCAAAGGAAGTCAGAAGAAAAACAGCCCCATCTCGGTCTCTTGAATCATGTTTTCTCTTCATGGCAGACATCTTCTGAATCAAGAACTCTTTGAGCTTATTCTAGACAACAGAAGACACCCAGAAAATAGAAAGACCACTACATACCCAAGAATGAAAAGTGAACACATAGGTAGCTTTTACAACCAGAAAAAACGATAGGCATCATGGATCATATCAATTTCTATAAAATGACTAAGTGTGAAGTGCTTTCCTGCTCCTTCCTCCACACGTACCGGCTGGTAGGTCTCTGCCCCGCACTGGTCACAAGTGTAAGTGGCCACTACCATCTTGGGTTTGACTTCAGAGACACGGGTGACGATTCCACGCACAGTCACCAATTTCCCCACAGAGTCAGCTCGCACATCCCGGATCACACGAGGCTTGTTGCTGCTTGGGCCTTGAAAATACAGCTCACTAAGAGGAGAAAACAGTCACAAACAAGATCCTGGAGTCACAAACCAATCCCTACATCCTTCCCAACAGAGACCACTCACAATCTGCGCATGAGTTCAGCGGGATACTGGTTCTGGGGGCTTCGGGCCATCCCAGGGTCCCGAGTCCGCTGCTCCATCATAAGCCGATGTTCAATATAAACATCCAGGACATCTTTATTTACCACCTAAAGGAGAAGAGCAGAAAAAAATGAGTAACAGGATGGGGAAAGGAGAGCACAGACAATGCCAGGCAGAAGTGCCCCTGCTTTCTGCCTGGCTCCGAAAACATCAGTATCTGAGAAGCTTCTTAACAGAAGCTGAAACGCCTTGCCCTGCATTGTTCTCCAGTCACTCACCTCCCTCTCCTTGTACTGAGGCAGCAGCTCTTGTACCGCATCAGCAAACAGCTTTGCGTAGCGCCTGGCATTCTCACAAATTGAGTCCACCAACTCAGGGTCATCCTCAGCTACATCATCCAGGTCCACGTACAGAGCCACCTGTTCCCTATGAGCCAGCCGAACCTCAGGTGGGAAAGAGACAGCAACACCTCAGAGCCATGTTCACTTGTTCAGTGTTCACGTGTGAAGATGCATCACTGAGAGCTCAGCACGGGCTCTGGGCATCCACAGGGGAGAACATAGCACCTCAGAGAGCACACTCACTTCTCAGCCCCCAAACTCTCTAATTATTATGAAAATACTATAGCATCACATTCTCTTACCAGATATCAAATGCCCTGATAAACATGTCAGAAAAACATCCTTGATGAAACAAGCCGCTTCTTAGGACTTCTTAAAACCCGACTCCTCATTCTCTTTACCCAATCTTAGACTCACCAATTGGTTCCCATACTTGAACTGCTTCTTCCCAAGTTCATCATCCTGGTAGAACTCTTGTAAGAACTTCTTAACCTTTTCTGTAACGTAAAAGGTAAAATCATAAGACACAAACTTTATATTACTGCCCATCCCTCTGACAGAAATCTAAGACGCCTATTTTCACTTAAAACACGATTTATGAACTAGTTAACGATATGAGCATTTAAATAAACCTACCGAATTCTCCCCAAAATGGGTATAACTCTTTTTCACAAGTTTGTTTTTAATCAGCGAAGAATAAAGAGGTCGTGGCAGTTCACAGGATGATCCAACATCGTCTTCCCAGGGGAATTCCGGTCCCTACTTTAAAACCCTAGCGCCCTTCCTCATCGGCGCCCCACACTCCGATCTCAAGGTTCTCAGCCTTCCTTCCACCCCTATGATCCCCCACCTTCTTTGGGCCCCTGAGCCCCTGATCTCGCCAGGACCTCCGCCATCAGGCGGGTCGCGCACCCCACCCCCGCTCCCGCCAGCGCTTCCGCTCTTAGTAAACAAAGAAGCACATGGGACCGGATTCCAGCCGCCTCACAGCCCGGGATTCCTCCGCCCAGGGCGGGAGCCCATCCAGCCATTGGACAACACGCCTGGGGCCGCCGCGATCCCAGCCCACTACCGCCTTTCCGGGGCACGAGCGAAGCTCCCGGTTCCCAGGCACGCCCCCTCCCCTGGGCCACAGCTCTCTCCGAGGCCGCTGCGCGGAAGGACACTGTTTACACGACACTCCCTCCATCCGCGTCGCGCCACTTCCGCCCGGCTCCACTTCCGCTTGGAGGGCGGCCTCAAACGGCCAATCCTGGTGCGTAGCGGCCCGGCCTGCCCGCCCCCAGGGCCTCCGCGCGCCTCGGGAGGACGCGGGAACTGGGGAATGCCCAAAAGCGCGGAGGAAAGCAGGCCCGGAACCCCAGAGTCCTTAGGGTACTCCGAGGTCTTGGGCGCGATTCTCCCCTATGCAGCACCCCCCCAGCCAGGTTAGCGCCCCCAAGCCCCCAACTCCATGACCCTAACACCTTTACTACGTGGGATTACCAGCTTTTCTTCAACATGGATGCCACCTGCGCCTCGTGGGCCTCAGCCGGGCGGCCGCCCGACCCTGCCTCTAGCCTTGTGGTCCCCAGAACTTGCTGATCCCGGCTCCACAAGACCCCAGCTCACACCAATAGGTGTTCCCCGGGAGGCTCCCCGCGCAGGACGCCCTCCCAGGCTCGTAGAGCAGTACCTTTCTCGATCGCGTAGTCCTTCAGTGCCATCACTACCGAGGCCCGTACGGCAGCGCTTGGCGGACTCAGAGGTCTGGGTCCCGGGCAAGCGGAGAACGTCCGCGCGGTGGACTGTGGCTGACCAACCGAAATTGGCGCGAAACGTCGCCCCCACGTGACCGGCGCCACTGCCTGCCGGCCAATTGCAGAGGCCGGCCCTCTCCCCGCCTCCAGCTAGCCTCAAGCCAATCACCAGGAGGACCTGGAATGAGTGACGGGGAGGCGGTGTGGGCGTCGGGAGGGAATCGCCGAGCTAGGCTGGGCGGGCGTCTGGTTTCCCGCGGTCCGAGCTGGCTTAGGCGGAGCAGAATCGCTCTTAAAGGGCCAGCGCACGCGTGTTCCTTTGTTCCGGGGCCTCAGGGCGGGGCAGGCCCAACTTTCGCCGTCTTCTCGTTTACTCTCCAGAACGGCCATGATTTCCCAGTTCTTCATTCTGTCCTCCAAGGGGGACCCGCTCATCTACAAAGACTGTATCCTAGACCCGCGGGGCTGGGAAGGGGCGGAGGTGTCGGGCGGGAGGGGCGCCCGGGGCCAGCCCGTGTCGCAGGCTTCTTCACTGAGTTCTTCCACCCGCCAGTCCGTGGGGACAGTGGCGGCCGGGATGTGGCCGAGCTCTTCTACCGGAAGCTGACGGGACTGCCAGGAGACGAGTCCCCGGTTGTCATGGTAACCACTGGCGGGAGGCGGGTGGGGAGCAGGGAGCCGGCGCCCACCTGGCCCGCCGGCTCCCTCCCAGGGCTGATTCCTTGGTAGCTTCCACTTGGGATGGGGTGCATTCTTCCATATAAAACTAACAAGAGGCCCGGTGTCTCATGCCTGTAATCCCAGCACTTTGGGAGGCCGAGGGGGGCGGATCACCTGAGGTCAGGAGTTCGAAACCAGCCTGGCCAACCTGGTGAAACCCCCGCCTCTACTAAAAATACAAAAAAATTAGCCAGGCCTAGTGGTGAGCGCCTGTAATCCCAGCTACTAGGGAGGCTGAGCCAGGAGACTCGCTTGAACCCGTGAGGCAGAGGCTGCAGTGAGCCGAGATCGCCACACTGCACTCCAGCTTGGGTGACAGAGCAAGACTACATCGGGCAGGGGTCGGGGGGGGGGGGGACGTTGGGACAAAAAAAACTTACATCAGGTGGCAGCAAAACACCAGGCCCAGCTCCCTTTATGACTCCATCCTCAGCAACTAGGTGTAGCTACTGTAATTAACCCCGTTTCCACATTGGGAAGCTGGGTTCAGGAACCTGTCATGTATCTCCCGAAGTCACTGCTACTGTGACTAGTAAGAGGCATCGGGATCCGAGCTCAGGTCTCCTGGGTTCTGATCACCCCAGCTCCTTTTTCCTAATGCTACTCTACCTGCCTGTGTCTCAGCATCACGAGGGCCGTCATTTCATTCACATCAGACACAGCGGCCTCTATTTGGTGGTCACAACTTCAGAAAACGTTTCTCCCTTCGGCCTCCTAGAACTGCTCTCCAGGTGAGGAGGGCTGGGCTGGACACCTGGTAGCTAGTGGGGGTCTAAGAGGAGGAGGAAATGCATACTCCCAAGTGTTTCTTCAGGTTGGCCACCCTTCTGGGCGATTACTGTGGCGCCCTGGGTGAGGGGACCATCTCCCGCAACGTGGCTGTGGTCTACGAGCTCCTGGATGAAGTGCTGGTGAGAATCAATGATCCCCTTCTGTGCCCGCCCCCCAATTCCCCTGGAGATACTTCTGCTCTTCTACTGCGGGATGCTGTGGTTGGGAGACCAAGTCTACTCCTTTTTTTTTTACCTTTTAGAGATAGGGTCTTTGCTCTGTCACCCAGGCTGGAGTGCAGTGGTGCAGTCATAGCTCACTGTAACCTGGAACTCCTGGGCTCAAGTAATCCTCCTGCCCCAGCCTCCCCTGTGCCCAACTAATTGTTTATTTTTTATGGAGACAGGAGTCTCTGGCGCCCAGGCTGGAGTGCAGTGGCTGGATCTCTGGTCACCGCAACCTCTGCCTCTTGAGTTCAAGTGATTCTTCTGCCTCAGCCTCCTGAGTAGCTGGGACTACAGGCACATGCCACCTGCCTGGCTAATTTTTTGTATTTTTAGTAGAAATGGGGTTTCACTATGTTGGTCAGGCTGGTCTGGAACTCCTGACCTCATGATCCACCTGCCTTGGCCTCACAAAGTGCTGGGATTACAGGGGTGAGCCACTGCACCCGGCCCCCACTTCACCTTTTTTACCCCTTCCCTCCACTGACTTCTCAGACTGTCCTTCTTTTACGCTAGGATTATGGCTACGTACAGACCACATCTATGGAGATGCTGAGGAATTTCATCCAGACGGAAGCTGTGGTCAGCAAGCCCTTCAGCCTCTTTGACCTCAGCAGTGTTGGCTTGGTCAGCAGAGAAAAAGAGGAGGGTGAGGAAGGAGAAGGGGTGTTGCCTGGGGTTGTCAGACCTGAGGATTGATTGCTTTGGATACTTTACAGTTTGGGGCTGAGACACAACAGAGCAAAGTGGCCCCCAGCAGTGCAGCCAGCCGCCCCATTCTGTCCAGTCGCTCTGACCAGGTGAGAGAGGGATCCATGGGGTCCAACCTTGTGGTTTTGCTCTGGGACCCCAGAGTCCAAGATTTTAGGTTGGGCACAGTGGTTCATGTCTGTAATCCCAGCATTTGGGGAGGCTGAGGTAGGCAGATCACCTGACATCAGGAGTTTGAGAGCAGCCTGGTCAACATGGTGAAACCCCATCTCTACTAAAAATGCAAAAATTAAAAAAAAAAAAGATCTTGGTACGTTTTCCACCTCTCCTAGATGTGGGTATCCCTTCTGGCACCTGTGTCCCTACCCTAGAGCTGTAGCTTTGACCATTCTTCTGTTCTTTCTTCTGTCTGTCCACTTCAGAACATAGACTGTTCTGCTTCCAACGACCCAAATCCTCTCTCTTTCTCAGAGCCAGAAGAATGAAGTTTTTTTGGATGTGGTTGAGAGATTATCTGTACTGATAGCATCTAATGTAAGTTTGAGCTCCCATCCCTTGAGCTGAGGACAAATGAGATTTGGGACACATGTTGGGGTGGCTAAGACTCCAGCAATGGCTGGGCACGGTGGCTCATGCTTATAATCCCAGTGCTTTGGGAGGCAGAGATGGGATAATTACTTGGGGCCAGGAATTTGAAACCAGCCTGGGCAACATAGCCAGATCCTGACTCTACAAAATACAAAAAAATTACCCAGGCATGGTAGTGTACACCTGCTGTCCCAGCTACTTGGGAGGCTGAGGCAGGATGATCGCTTGAGCCCAGGAGATTGAGGCCTCAGTGAGCCAGGATGGCACCAAAGCACTCTAGCCTGGGTGAGAGAGCAAGACGCTGTCTCTTTAAAGAAAGAAGTCAGCACGGTGGCTCATGCCTGTAATCCCAGCGGTTTGAGAGGCCGAGGCTGGTGGATCACTTGAGGTCAGGAGTTTGAGACCAGCTTGGCCAACATGATGAAACTCCATCTCTACTGAAAAGACAAATTTAGCCAAGCGTGCTTGCAGGCACCTGTAATCCCAGCTAGTTGGGAGGCTGTGAGGAGAACCGATTGAACCTGGTAGGCAGAGGTTGCAGTGAGCTGAGATTGCACCATTGCATTCCAGCCTGGGTGACAGACCAAGAGTCTGTCTCAAAAAAAAAAAAAAAAGAAAAATTCCAACCTTGACCTCTGCCTCTCAGGGCTCCCTACTGAAGGTGGATGTGCAGGGAGAGATTCGGCTCAAGAGCTTCCTTCCCAGTGGCTCTGGTGAGGCATCTGCAGGCAGGACCCAGGGTTGGGGTTGGGGCAGGTTCCTTGATGTTTTACACCGTGGAGTTTGCGAGCTCTCCTAATGTTCTTTCCTCTGCCAGAGATGCGCATTGGCTTGACGGAAGAGTTTTGTGTGGGGAAGTCAGAGCTGAGAGGTGAGGAGAAAGGGTCTGTCTCTCTCTGGGGTAGGTCTCTCATTGCCAGAGAGTTCATGGAGAGAAGTCAGAGACGGATCTTCCCCCTCCTTTCTCCCTCTCCCAAAAGGAGTCAGGAGAGAAGTCTCTCTTTCCAGGTTATGGGCCAGGAATCCGGGTCGATGAAGTCTCATTTCACAGCTCCGTTAATCTGGACGAGTTTGAGTCTCATCGAATCATCCGCTTGCAGCCACCTCAGGGCGAGGTCAGGATTGGGGTAGCCCTGTAAATTCTGTCCACCATGGGGAAGGGGGCAGTGTGGGGTTGAGGAGACCAAACTGACCCTGTTGCTCTCTGGTCTCTCAGCTGACTGTGATGCGGTACCAACTCTCCGATGACCTCCTCTCACCACTCCCCTTCCGGCTCTTCCCCTCTGTACAGTGGGACCGAGGCTCAGGCCGGTGAGACCATTTCCTGGGTTCCAGAAGTACCTTGGAGCCCAAGAGAGGATGTGTATGTTCCCAACACTCACTGCAGAGTGGGGGTGGTGGTAGAGGTGATGAAGTGCAGATTGGAAAAAGGCTTGGGCTGGGCATGGTGGCTCATGCCTGTAATCCCAGCACTTTGGGAGGCTGAGGTTGGAGGATCACTTGAGCCCAGGAGTTCCAGACCAGCCTGGGCAACATAGTGAGACCCAGTCTCTTCAAAAAAAAAAAAAAGGAAAAAGCTTTGGCTAATGGAGTTGGGCTGGGCTTCAGCTCTTTGGGGTACAGCCCACACAGCCCTGCACAGAGCCCCCTGGTGGGGAATGGTGAGATGCCAGTAAGAGATGGCCCGAGTCATGGTGTTTTATTCTCTCGTCCAGGCTCCAGGTTTACCTGAAGTTACGATGTGACCTGCCCTTGAAGAGGTAAGAGTGGAGGCCAGTGAGGCCGAGTTCAGCTCTGTGGGATAAGAGACAGGGCCAGGACATCTGCTGCTACTCTCTTCAGATGCACCTGCCAGCCTCAGAATCCAGTTTAGGTAGAGGCTGTAGCATTTGGGAAGATGGGGGGCAACTGTGCTGAAATCCCATTGTGACATTGAAGGGGAACAGGACAAGGGACCATGCTTTCCTGGGGCTGACTTTGTTCCCGTCTCCTCTGTAGCCAAGCCCTCAATGTCAGGCTGCACCTCCCCCTGCCTCGAGGGGTGATCAGGTAAGTGCGTGTGCCCTGGGAGGTAGCAAGGCACAGGTAGGCGGGGAGTGAGGTCAGCACAATGGGCCTGCCCAGAGAAGGTGTCAAGCTCAGCATCTTTCCTCTCCAAACTCCAGCCTTTCTCAGGAGCTGAGCAGCCCAGAGCAGAAGGCCGAGCTGGCAGAGGGAGCCCTTCGCTGGGACCTGCCTCGGGTGCAAGGAGGCTCTCAACTCTCAGGCCTTTTCCAGGTATTTGCTGTTGACCCTCCAGCCCCTCTCCTCCCACCTTCACTTGCAGCCCCGACCCTGCCCTCCCGAAGCAGTTGCTGCCTGGTCCCCCCAGCTTGGTCAGCTTCCTGCGCTCCTTCCTCTCCCTGCCTCTGCCCCTCACAGATGGATGTCCCAAGGCCCCCAGGACCTCCCAGCCATGGGCTCTCCACCTCAGCCCCTCCTCTGGGGCTGGGGCCTGCCAGCCTCTCCTTCGAGCTTCCCCGGCACACGTGTTCCGGCCTCCAGGTCCGCTTCCTCAGGCTGGCCTTCAGGCCCTGCGGCAATGCCAACCCCCACAAGTGGGTGCGACACCTGAGCCACAGCGACGCCTATGTCATTCGGATCTGAGGATCCCCTAATGAGGATACAGTGGCCAAGGCAGCTGTTTGTCCCATGGGAGGAGGACAGTCTTTTCCAGCTTCCTGGCCTGCAGACTCTGGGCAGGAAGAGTCCTGAGTCCTGAGAGACCAGGAGGGCACAATGGGCGCAGCCTTTCCATGGTATATGATGCAGGAAGGACTGTGGTGCATCAGAACTTAGAAACCAAACTTTTATTCTGAGGAACTGGCTGTACAATATCTAAAAAGAAAGTGACATGAAGGAAGCAATCTACAACTTCCTTCTGCCTAGTGTGCATGCATGCGTGTACATGTCTGCATGTGTGGGAATCCGGGGCCAGCAGGTGAAACATCATGGTGCAGGCTGAGGGGAGCTGGAGCTGGGGGGCTGGGAGCCATTCGCTTTTGGAGTCCCTGGAGCTGGAGGGGGACTGTCCCCAGCTTCCTGCTTCCCCCCACAGAGGGCACTGCTGCTGAGCGGAGAAGGGGATGATGTTGGCGGAGGAACTGGAGAAGGGTGGGAGGCAGGGCCTCCTTTGCCCTCCCCTGTCGAGGGAAGTGAAACCACAATGTACTTCTGGACGCTCCCAGGACCAGAGGGAGCAGTGCTAGCGGGTGCGGTGGTGGCGGTGGAGACCAGCTTGACGATGGGCTGCACGCTGGGGACAGTGGTGGTGACAGGCGAGGTGGTGGTGCAACCTGAGCCAGGGGCTGAGGTGCTGAGAGACAGGACCTGGGCAGAAGGGAAAGGCATGGCCACTTGCCCTGTGTCCTCCCGGCCCCCCAGAGGCCTGGCAGGGACCCTTTACTTGCTCCCTGTCTGAACAAGTTCCCCGTAGACTGGCAGGAGGCCTTGCTCAAGCAGGGCAGCTACGGCCCTGCAGGACCCTGATGGGTGCCTCTTCCAGCTCCTGACTTGGGGCCCGGGGGGACTATGCTCTACTCCGGGGCCTCCCCAGGGTGCTGAGGTGACCCAGGCCCTCCAGATGCTCCCCCCATCCCTGTCCCACACATCTCTGCGTACCTGCTGGGTGGATGGGGCACTGGAGGATGACGACATTACAATAAACTTGGTTGGAGGAGGGGAAGGCTGTGGTGGTGCAGCCGCTCGTGCAGACACCAGTGTCTGGACGGGAAGTGTAATAGAGCCAGGAACCTTCAGCAAGCCAGGGGTGCGAGGACCAGGCTGCGGGGCCTGCGAGAGGGTCAGCGTGGGCCGGGGCTGCAGGGAGAAGAGGAAAGGGGGAAATGGGAGCATCTTGTAAGGAGAGTCTGAAAAGAAACACCTGGGCTCCCCTTGCTCTTCCTCAGTGGCTCTTACTGGGCCTGGTCACCCTGAGACTGCTGACTCAGGGCCCACATGGCCGTGTGTGAGTGCCTGTCCTACACTGGGGTCCTCTGCTTCCTCCTATCCCTCCCCACTTGGCCACGGACCTGTGTGATGGTCAGAGTGGTCCTGTTGACCTGCTGAGCCTGCAGAGCAGCCTGGGCCCGAGCCTTGACCACGTGGGAGCAGAGGAGGGGCCCAAGGGACCCAAATTCTGCCCGATAGGCATCCTGATTATCAGGTGGTGGGCGCAGCTTTGCCAGAACAGGGGCACAGTGTTTCTGCAGACAGAAGAAAAGCCACATAGGAGGGCTGGTGGCACTGTGAAAAGAGCCTCGGGGATGGGGCAGAAAAGGACATTCCTTATAAACTCAGTGCCCTGTTGGAAGCCACACTATGGTAAGGTATTAGTGTGTGTACGAACACTGGGCTTTCTCGTAAGAAAACAGGCACAGGGCCAGGTGCAATGTCTGATGCCTGTAACCCAGCAAATTGGGACCTAAGCAGGCAATCACTTGAGGTCAGGAGTTTGAGACCAACCTGGCCAACATGGAGAAACTGTCTCTAGTAAAAATACAAAAATTAGCCAGGCGTGGTGGTGCACACCTGTAGTCCCAACTACTGGGGAGGCTGAAGTACTAGAACACTTGAACCCAGGAGGTAGAGGTTGCAGTGAGCAGAGATTGCATCACTGCATTCCAGCCTGGATGACAATGAGACTCAGAAAAAAAAAAAAAAAAATGACCGGGCATGGTGGCTCACTCACGCCTGTAAGCCCAGCACTTTGGGAGGCTGAGGCAAGTGGTTCACCTGAGGTCAGGAGTTTGAGACCAGCCTGGCCAACACAGTGAAACCCTGTCTCTACTGAAAATAACAAAAAATTAGCCAGGTGTGGTGGTGTGTGTCTATAGTCCCAGCTACTCAAGAGGCTGAGGCATGAGAATCGCTTGAACCTGGGAGGCGGAGGTTTCAGTGAGCCTGAGATTGTGCCACTGCAATCCAGTCTGGGTGACAGAGTGAGACTACATCTCAAGAAAGAAAAAAAATGAAAACATAGGCACTAATGTGTGAATGAACTTCCTGGATACCTGGGTGATCTCTACAAGAGAGTTAATTGAGAGAGCATTTGCCTTGTACAGAGAAGACCACACAGTGATGCAGAAGCACTGGGGGCAGTACAGTCTAAACGTCACAGGCTGAGTGGGAAGAACCTTTCTTTTTTGGGGGGTGGCGGTCTCCCTTTGTAACCCAGGCTGGAGTACAGTGGCAGGATCATAGCTCACTGCCACTTTGAATTCCTGGGGTCGAGCAATCCTCCGACCCTGGCCTCCCAAGTAGCTGGGACGTCACCACTCCTGGCTAACTTTTTGTTTTTTGTATGCCGGATCTCACTGTGTTGCCCAGGCTGGCCTCATACTGCTTGGCTCCCAGATTGCTGGGATTACAGGCAGGAGCCATCACGCCCAGCCCCTTCATTTCTTACTCAGCCTGAGCCTCAGTCTTTCCATCTGTAAAAGAGTATCAGACTTCAGTGTGTTCTAAAAACATGAGGCAAAGACTGGAGTAGGTGAATAAAATAAACCATATGTTTGCTGAACACCGCCTGTGTCTCAGGGACAGGGGCTTCAGTCACCAGCAGAAGACTCTGCACATGGTCAGCTCCGATCCGGTCAATGTTGCTCAGCACGGGGCCATCCAGGACGCTGCGAATCCGCTCCCCTTCCTGTTGCAGCCGGGGCAGAATCAGAGTTTTGATGACCTGTTGGAAGGGAAGGGGAAAAGCCAACGCCGGGGGTCACCAGCGGTCTCTCAGGTGGGGACATGGTTTCCTCCCCCATTTCTTCCTCCCAGAGGCCTAACATCGTGTCCCAGCTCGGCCAGGCCTGCGATGGAGCCATAACGAGTTGTCCAGGGCGTCTTCTCGTCCACCCAGCTCTGTAAGGGAAAGGAAATAAACTCACATGAAGGAGGCTGAAAGGCTGATTTTTAGAGACCCCAGTTTTTCATAAGACACTTTCCTTGTAAATCATTAGACATTACAATGAGGCTGGGTGAGGTGGCTCACACCTATAATCCCAGGACTCTGGGAGGCCAAGGCAGGCAGATTACCAGAGGTCAGGAGTTTGAGACCAGCCTGGCCAACATGGTGAAACCCCATCTTTACTAAAAATACAAAAATTAGCCAGTTGTGATGGGAGCCTATAATCCCAAGTACTAGGGAGGCTGAGGCAGGAGAATTGTTTGAACCCCAGTGGAAAGGTAAAGTGAGCAGAGATCACACCACTGCACTCCAGCCTGGGCAATAGAGAGAGACTCTGTCTCAAAAACAAAGGCATTACAAGTCCCTTGGACCCGCCCCGCCAAGTTCCAAGTTCCAGTCCCCTTTCCTCTGGCTGTTGTTTCCAGGGCCACTGCCCCCAGCCAGAAGTGGCCAGTGATGAAACAAATGATGCTCAAGTTATCCTGGCTTACCTTGGTGAAGGTCTTGGTGATCCGGGACTGGATGTTGTTGGTGGTTGTACTAAAATGCTTGCAGATCTGGGCCACCAGGCGGGCAGCAAAGTCTCGGAGTGCCCAGTGATTGTCCACATCTGGTCGCAGGCATAGCTGTCTGCTCACGATGCAGGTCATCACAGCTGGAATCAGCTCATGGACCTAAGGGAGAAGGGGTGAGGCAGCTGATTCTGGTTTTCTTGTGTGTGTGTGTGTGTGTTTGAGACAAGGTCTCGCTGTCACCCAGACTGGAGTGAAGGGGCACAATCACTGCTCACTGCAGCTTTAACCTCCTGGGCTCAAGCAATCCTCCCATCTCAGCCTCCCAGGTAGCTGAGACCAGAGGTGTGCACCACCGTGCCTGGCTAATTTTGTTTTTATTTTTAAGATGGAGTTTTACTCTTGTTGCCCATGTTGGAGTGCAATGGCGCCATCTTGGCTCACCACAACCTCTACCTCCTGGATTCAACTGATTCAGCCTGAGCCTCCCAAGTAGCTGTGATTATAAGCACGCACCACCATGCCTGGCTAATTTCATGTATTTAGTAGAGATGGGGTTTCTCTGTGTTGGTTAGGCTGGTCTCCAACTCCCGACCTCAGGTAATCCACCGGCCCAACCTCCCAAAGTTCTGGGATTACAGGCGTGAGCCACTGTGCCTGGCTGTTTATTTTTTTGTAAAGACGGTAGTCTCACTACATTGTCCAAGCTGTCCTCAAACTTGTGATTTCAAGTGATTCTCCCACCTCGGCCTCCCAAAGTTGCTGGAATTCCAGGCCTGAACCACCACTGACCACTGGCTTCCTGTTGTGGCAGCAGGGTCCCTGGTCCCTGGTCCCTGGAAGGGAGGGTGGGCTGGACCACTCACATATTTTTCTAGATACAGCGTGGGGTTGTCCATCAGCGCCTTCACCATACGCATCAGGTAGATGAGCAGGGCCAGGTTGTTCTGAACCACATTCACACGGACCTGCGGGAGGGAGGAGTGCTGGGCATGGGGCAAGGAGACCCTCACAGGAGCTTCCACTGCTATCCCTTCACCACGGGACCTCGTGCTCTCACCCCCTCCGAGATGAAAGTACTGAACCGTGGCAGCATCTGATAGAGCCCAGGGTCCGTGGCAATGCTCTGCAGGGCTTCCTGTGGGAGGAGGGAAGCCAGTGAGGTGAAGTGGGTTGTGGGGAGCAATTCATAGGGCCCCCAGAAGGAGAAATCTTGGGGCCAGGGCAGGCTGGTGGGGCCCTCACCGCCCTCTTGGCCTCGCAGGAGCCCACGCAGGCCTCAGTTATCTCCTTGTAGTACAGCTGCTGCTCCACAGACAGCTCGTGGATGCTCCGGGGCTTCAGTCGCAAGGGGCCCCCCTCCAGCAAGGGCGGCGCCTTCTTCTCTTTCCCTGTGTGATTGGAGAGGTGAATCTAACAAAGAAAGCTCCAGAAGCCTCAGTAACATGAACCTTAACCCTCCTCCCCCCCTGAGACCC